GATGACGCGCGATGATGACGTCGCGACTTTAGTGACGCGATTTAATCTCCGCTATTTTGCGTAGCGCGGTTTTGTCGTGCCACGGATTTTATACGGGTTGGATATATTCTTAAAAAGAAATACTGAGCAGTGGGATTACACTAATCATCCTTTTCCTGATCTAAGAATCCCAAAACTGGGTAGAAATTGTTGCTCTTGCTGTTTAATGCATCTGTTTGATGATGGAGGAGTGTGGGAGACTGGTTCAAGCAATCTCAAAACTCATCCCAGCTTCAATAAGTTTAATATCATATTAGTCTTAGAACCTTGCAAATGTATTGTTTAAACCAGGCGTGTAGCATTTTTACAGTTTTTAACTTGATGTATACTGTATATTCTTATTATCATCCAAGTCTTTGATTTTTATCCACGGAGTGTCGGAGAAAATGTTTTGGCCTCCTATGAACGTGCCCTTCATCTCTCCTTTTCTCTAGTTGTGGCCAGTAAAACTTGCCTTTTCCTCTCCCTGTGAGGGAGCCCCGGTAGGTGAAAGCACTGATGTGCCAGGTGCATGGAACGTTGCTCCCTTCCTCACTCCGCCTTTCCCAGCATCAGCTGACGATCAGGGAAGGCTGTTCACAGCACCTTCACACGCTGAATGCTTCAAAACCCCTCACTTTAAAACTCTGCATGTTTTACACCTCTGCACATTTTTCCTGTTTTCCCAATTAATTACGGGGATTGAATAGTGGATTGCAAGAGAGATATTAACCAATGCTTTATAGAAAAATAAAGATACCCTTGCATCCAAGCGTGGCCTTGGATGCTTAACCCTTTGAATTTCTTTACACTAACCCAGGTTTGTGTGTGTGAAAGAGAGAGAATCTGGTGGTTGGCTCTTGTCAAAGGAAGACATTTCTGTGCACGTGCTCGGGAGCAGCCTTAATACACTTTTATAATATCCCAAGGCACAATAAATTTAAATTTCAGGCCTCAAACTTATACCTTTGGGAGGGAGGAGAGTTTGTGAAACGGTACCTGCTTTTCTGCATTGGGATTCAATACCGATTCTTCTTGTTTTAGAATCATCATAGCCCTGCAAGTTGGATTCAATAGTAAGAAAGGACAGCTTGCTCTAAAGCAACTGTCAGCAGGTATCTCATGCTTAAGGCTTCCTGTATTCAGAACTACCCCACTTCGTCATCATTTTCCTGGCTTGTTAAATTAGAATTTCAAGCCTGGAAAGCTAAATTGCCCAGCCACAGCAAAGGCTGCTTCACGACCTACTGCTGTTCACAAGAGAATTAACTTGTGGGATTTAATGGCTCCTTTCTTAGCCAAGGGGATGATACAGCTCTCTTTCTATCCTGCAGAGCCCCCAGACTCTAGGAGCAAGCGGTACCGTACCTAAACTTGGACTTTTGCCCGAAGAGGAAGAAACAGACAACAGGGAGAAGGAGCTGTTGATAGAACGGATACAATCAATAAAGGAAGAGAAGTGAGTGAGGGCTTGTAAGGGCCTACCCTCTGCAAGGCAGAAGCTACTTATCTCTGAATTCATCCACCAGCTCTGAGAATCTCTGCCAAGAAGAGCAGTCCTTTAGTTTCCCTGCAGAATCCATTCCTGCAAAGTATTTAAAAAACGGAGCCTGCATTGCAAAGCATGAAAAAAATGTTAGGATTTTCAAATTTATTTTGAAATGAGCCACGGTAGCGCACTGGTTAGAGTGCAGTACTGCAGGCTACTTCTGCTGACTACCAGCTGACTGCAATTTGGCAGTGCAAGTCTCACCAGGCTCAAGGTTGACTCAGCCTTCCATCCTTCCGAGGTGGGTAAAATGAGAACCCAGATTGTTGGGGGCCAATAGGCTGACTCTGTAAACCGCTTAGAGGGCTGTAAAAGTGCTGTAAAGCGGTATATAAGTTTAAGTGCTATTGCTATTTTTAGGCTTGTGTGAAAGCCTCCCCCAGATTGCCCCGAGCTGCCCTGCTCCTCCTTCAGTAGCAAACAAAGCCCACCAATAGACTTTATACCACCCCAGTCATAATTACCCTTCCCATGGTTCCAACAGCAACATTGGACTTGATGGATCAAAGAGGAGAGGCAGAAAAAAACAACTCTTTTCATTATCCCTAACTTTGAAATTGTTCCAGCCCTCCCATGGAATGTCGTAACTTTTCTTTCTTTCTCACTTCTTTAGGGAAGACATAACATACCGGCTCCCCGAATTGGACCAGCGTTGTTCGGATGAGGAGAATGTTGATTCCGAGACGTCGATTAGCACAGAGAGCTTGTTGGAGGAGCGTGTGGGGTGCCGTGACCCTGAAGGTCAGTATTAAGGTATTGTGCAGGTTTTTTTCCCTTTCCAATCATTCCCTTGGTGGCCTTGTTGGTCATCCCGCCACCAGCCTTTCCTGCAACTTTCTACTGCAACAGCAAAAAAGAAACCCTTGGCAACAGGTTTCTTACCCAAGCTCTCTCCTTCTCTTTAAAGGAAGCAAAGAGCCTGCTGCTCAGTGCATCAGCCTCTCCGCCAAAGAAGAGAATGGATCCCCAAAGACCCTGCCGTTTTCAGCCAAGGTAGATCCGACTCCCCCTCGCCTGTCCACCACATGTGGGCCATCCTCTCTGCTTCTGCTCAAGGGAAGCCCTCTTCATCAAACTCCAGGGGATGCACACAGCCAAGCCCAAGCTGTCTTCCAGGACTGAGAAGCTAACAGACCCGCTCCCTCCATGCTCCAAGAACTGCCTCTTTCAAGGATGAACTGCCCAGGGGAACGTACCAAGAACAGTCGTCTCAAAAGGAAACAGGAGAGGCAGGTTCAGTGAAGGTCAAAAAAGGGTAACTAAGCAGCCCTGTTTCAGGAGCTGTTAGGTAACACTGCCCTATTCTGAACCCAGTCAAGTCCAGTATTTAAAACATTCTGCTGCTCATCCAAACAGAATGGTCATGATTGGCATCAGGGCTTTTGGTCGGCATCGAATCTTGGAAACAATTGGTGCTTCTCTGATCTGATCAAATGTGGATCAATAGTTACAGCTCTGAACCAGTCTCCACTTTCCGAGGTGAGGCTTGAAGTTCCCTTCTCCGCCCAGCAGTCCACTCAAGCCTGCCTTGCTTTCCTGTCTGCTTGCAACAGGCTCTTAATAGGACCAAACGGAGAGTCAAAGCACTCGATAACTCTTGTTTCTGCTTTAAGTCTCTCCCTGTCTCGCTCTCTCGGATGATGACAACTTCCAATTGGTTTACAAGAACTTTTAAATTTGTGTAGTAAGCGTTTAATGGAGACCAAAAAATGTATCAATGTTTATATTAAAACTGCACTTTTTTTGGGAAAAGAAGGCATTGGGAGTTATTCTTGACAGCACACCACCAAGGGCCTTCCTCCTATTATGGTATACTATAGTAGGCAGGATGGGAGCAGATCTGTCACTGTAACTGCGGAGATTAGTTTGATCTGTTGGAGTTTAAGTTAGACTGTAAAATCAAACGTGCTCTTCTGATAGACTCTTTGGGGAAGCTCAGGTGGAACAGCATGGAAAATCTCACTTTTTCTGTACAACGACCCATAAAAGAAGAGTCAGTTAGTATGACCTGTTGCTGTTCTTGGAACTTCATAATAAATAAGTAGGAGCAGAAGGAGAAAGAAACAGGCATTTTCCTGCCTGCCTTCTGAAGATGAGACATAAACGCTACAGACTTGCCATTCTGTACAATTACAATTTATTTTTTTTCAAAAGCAGCAGTAGCCCACTTAACAAACCTGAGCATAACTAGTTATGACTGTACAGAGTAAAGATTATTTTAACCTTAAAAGCAGGAGAAAGGTAAGATTTTAAATAGAAAAAAAGAAGGAAATGCAAAGAAAGTTGATTAAATTAATCGAATCCCTTTCAAATGGTAATCCATTTCTACTCCCTTTTCTTTTAATTGGTACTCGGTTGTCAACACATTTTTTTTTAATTGAAAGGAGGCACCGGAATGAAGTAGGTGGGAGGGGAACCGAGCACATATAAGACAAAGTCTTTCAAACCTGGTTTATAAAGAATGGAAAAGTGAATGAGTGTAGTCAGAATTCCTGACATTCTTCACCTGACAGATCTGATTTAAGCCAGGAATGGGACAGTGACTTATATCAGAAGCTCGTTATTTTGAGAAATAAGCCAAGGACTAGATTCAGATGCAATGCTCAACAAAACATAGACTGGAGGCTAAAGACGTTTGGCTTTTTCTGCCAAAGGGAGTAACCAGAAACAAACAGGAGTATGTCAAATGCATCCATGCTCTTGCTCATTCTGGACAAGCTAGAACGCAAATGAATTCTGCCCTAAATTTGACACATGGTTGTCCCCAAACGCCTCCTTTTGGGGGGGAGGAATGCACACATAAAAAATAAAAATAAAGAATTCTCTCCACACAAATGCTGTGTTTCGGGGGGCGGGGGAAAATAATAAAGTCAGCTTAATCAGCCCAGTGGAAACTTCACAGCGGGGAAAAGAGGGAGTTCTCCACTTCAGGTGTCAACTTCGGGTGGAATGCAGGAAGAGGAACACCAAAGTCTGGGGGAAAGAAGAAGAAAAAAAAAGGAAAAAATGTCAGTTTAAACTACAAAGAATCAAAATGGAGGGGGAAATTCCGAGTCGCAAACGGGGGAGTATTTCTTTCAGGATTAAGGTAGAACTGTTGGGTTAAAATGTCAGGTAACAGCCCCTTCTCCCCACCCCTCATGGATTTAAAATAAGTTTAGTCATTTTGAAGGTCTCCGGAAAGCCTTTTACAAAATGGAAGCCATTAAAATAGTTGGAGAAATTATTACATACATACTTGGGACATCTGATACATCTGCATGCCAAAACTGAGCGGGGAGCCCAGTATTATTTTAAGGATTTTTAAACTCCTTCCTATATCAGTAGATCAAACTGAGGAACTGTTGTGTTAATGAGGGAAATACAATATAAGACTTGGAATTAGGCCTTCCATAACCAAAAGGAAACAGAGAAATCTCAGATGCTTTTTTTTTCTCTTTCCAAAACTTCATGACCAAGATTCCCCATGACTGTTAGCACTCACCCATTTCCCCATCCAAGCGACTGGTTGGAGAGGGATTTTTGCGGTGGTCTTCAGTATGCTGGGTCATCTCCTCCCGAGAGGCTGTGGAATAGGGGCACTGTAAGCAGTTATAACGACCTCGGGTGTGTTCCCATACAATGCGGCTGTTGGAGGAGTGTCCTGCAATGGAAAGAAGAAGCTGAACATCCAGTCAACCGGTCAGTGTCCTGATTCCCAAACCATTGCGGATCTAATGACTCTTGTGAAAAGATAACTAAAGGAACTCTCTGATGGCTTAGGTGAATTTTGCATGTGTTATCTTTTGAGATATTGTAAAGAACAACGGGTAGAGGATAAAGAGGAAAACAAAGGCCTCTTCAAAGTAAGAAGAAAACTCAGAAAATTACAGATCCTGATAGCTGGGAAGATTCTAGAGCAGATCATAAACGATCTGGAAGTATGTAGAGACTGTTAGACCAACATGGATGTGTGAAAAATAATTTTCTTTAGTAAATTATGGGAATATTGGGGATGTAATAGAGCTTGATTTCAGTGCTGTATTTGACAGAGTATTTCATTATATTCTAAACTGGGTAACTGAGGACTGGATCAGCGTGACAATTAAATGGAATACATAGTGGGCTTCTAAAATTATTCAACAATTGTTTCTACTCAGATGAGAAGATATAAAAGGAAATGCTACCATGTTCAGTCCTACACACGAATTCCTCTGTGTTAAATTCATGACTTAAATATGGTCTCGGGTAGCTATGACTTAATAGTGGCATCTCTTGCACAGCCCCCCCACACGCACACACACACACACACACTCCTGTAACATAGTAAAATCATTGTGGAACTCCGAAAGGGGTTGACACCAGCCTTATGCAGAGTAAAAATGGCACATGATAGCTGCTCACCTTGGCTTTTCTTCCACACAGCATTGGAAACAGGGAGGCCTTGGCCTGCTGGCAAGAAAGGCCTAAGGCGATTCTGCACTGCAGCTTGAGGTAAAGCATAGGACGTGGGGTGCATATAGGGCAAGAAGGGCCCTGAAACCGAAGGGTGAGGTGGCCCAGAGAATTTTGCCAGGGAGGGTGGCCCAAACAGGGATTGGTCCAGCAGAGGATATGTAGGAGACGTTGGCAATGGCCCCGATTCTAAGGGGCCAGGAAGTCCAGCTGGAAGCAAGTCGGTGGCCAGAGGAGTGTCCATTGTGCCAGGGAGAAGAGCTTCTTTCTTGAAGTGCTGTATGACGCTCTGGAGTTTTGGAAGCTCCTCCAGCAATTTCCCGGGTGGCTCTTTTTCCAGGACAGGGCTAGGTGGAAAGATGGGTTTCTCTGAAGCCAGGGCTGGGGAAGTGGCGGTGGTGGCAGTGGTGGGGTTGGCATCAGAACAGCTGTGCAAGTGCTTGAAGAGGGAGCGATGCGTTCGGAAACGTGACATGCAGTTCTCACATCTGGAGGGAATGAAAACACAACAGGTTAAACAAAGCATTCAGCACTGAGCTTCCAACAGGCTTATCAAATGTGACATTCTCATTCCCTGCAGAGCGCCAGGCCCATGTTTGCTTACTGAAGAAGATGAGACATCCAGAAAACAAGGACTCTCAAATTTTGGCAGATTTTGGTGGGAATTGGTGAATCACTTTATTTCTATCCCACCTTTATAATTTTTACTAACCACTCAAGGCTGTGAATATGTTTTCATCATACTTTCCTCCTCCTATTTTCCGCACAACTCTATGAGGTGCGTTGGGCTAAGACAGTGGTAGTCAACCTGGTCCCTACCGCCCACTAGTGGGCGTTTCAGCTTTCATGGTGGGCAGTAGGGATTTGCTGTAACTCTGCTTTATAAATTTTATAAAGTAAAGTTACTTCCCTACTTTATGAATCACCATTACT